CCCCAAAACCCCAAAACCCCAAAACCCCAAAACCCCTTCAGGGAAATTTAATGATTATAAAAATTATCATTGAAATATTAATTAAATTGTTCTATTCAAAGCTTTTGTTTGAATTCTATCTCATTTGTTTAATTTCTCAAGAATTTTAGAAATTGATTCTTATAGAAGATTTTCAATGCCATTAACTTGATTTTTAATTGTCATAATATCATTCTTCATTGAATCTACATCTGTTTTGATTCCAGAGATTTCATTTTTAAGTAAGGTAAGATCTCCTTTAACTTCCTATTAGGTTGTCTCTAGTTTTGATTTTTATTAATCAAGAATCTAGGGAATTTTGTTCAACTGAACTTAATTTTGAATAATATCATTCTTTGATTTAGTTGAAGTAACTTCTATTACATTTTTTAAGTCTTTTAAAAATCCTTTCCATTCTCCAGCATCGCCAGCGTTAATGTCTAATTACCTTCTAATAATGATGTATTATGGAAATAATCTTTGGTTAATTAAGTCTTATTCATTAAAAAGTTGCTCTCTTTCGACAATCATATTAGCCTTTACTTTATAAGATTCAGCAGTTAGTTTTTCCATAACTTTAGAATAGGATTCTGATATTACTGCAATTATAAAGTTCATGAAGACAATATTCAAGATAACTACAGCAATTAGCCAAATCATCCAGGAAAGAGCAACTAAGAAGCTACTATTTTACTCACTAAACAGATCAACTACATAATCTCCTGAAGCAGTTCTAAATATCATAAGGAAATAAGTGAGCAACTCGACTCCTCTATATTCAGCCACATCCTTTGCTCTGAATAATATGGTGAATATTAGTCCAAACTACAAAATGAATATCATAAAGAAAGCAAGAAAGTATTTCACATCCCCAAATACTCCAGCCATCATTGATACTAAAAAACTGAATTAATCATATATCCTTATGTAAAAGTAGAGTTTCATAAAGGTTAACAAGATTGCAAGAATGTATAATAGGACTAATAAATCGCTGTTTATTGAAATTTACTCAAAAAAGCTTAGAGTGAGATAGGAAACAATGTAGCTAGAGTCAAAATAATTCCAAGCATTATTAAAATAAGTTTTGCCTTAAATTCTGATTTGTCTAATTTCATCCATCAAAATGGACAGTAAAGCACATAAACTTATCACTTTAGATGCAATAACTATAGAGACATTTCTTTGATCATTTTTAAAGTTCTGTTACAATAATCCATAGTAGGCTTGATTAAAAGATTCGAATATGAATGAACCAAAGAAAATTAAGAATATGTAGAATTTGGTTTAATAGTAAGATTTTGTGTACGCTTCCCATTTGAAATTGATAATGTTTTGAATTACAGGACTTTCAAAATTTTCATGCATATCTGACTTACTCAAAGTTATCATTAGTTCCTTAGGATTTTTAGATAAGGTATAAGGCAGGTTCACCATTGAATACTCAATAGTCACCTAAGATGAGTCTTCACTATCATCGTTCTCAACAATACAGCCAAATGTTTCATTGTACTTAGTAAGAATGTCTTAGGAATGAACTAGATTAATTGGAAGAAGTAATTCCTAAGAATCTGAATGCTATGAAGGAAAACTATCATTTGTTATCTACTATAAAGCTAAATTGCTTTCACAGAAATATTCGTGTAGATTTATGTTTTATTTGATGAGTTCACATAGATTTTTATCTATTATCTCATTGAATAGAATATGGTTTTGGTATTTAAGAAGAATCTACAGGAGTAAGTTGATTATTTTCTATTGTTTATTTTTCAAAGCAATATCTAAAGGATTACTTTACCCATACATATTAGAGATTATTAAAATTGGGATCTAATCAGCGTCCAATAATGACAGATATTTGTAAATGTACTCTAAAGCTGGAAAGTTATTTTGAAACATGTTTATGCAATTACCAAAGCCTGTTACAAATTTAGTGTAGATTTGAATATTTTTAAGTTCTACTACTGCTTAATCATGAGTCATTTTTGAAAGGGCTGTGAATTTTCTCAAAGTATCGTGATCAATGTCTGAATCAATATAACCTGCAATATTGATTTCATTATTTGCATAATATAGTTTGATTTTCCCTTTGTCTATTATAATTTTTTGTGCTTATTTGAAGTAAGTTGCCAAAACTATTAAATGATTGTAAGTGTTTGTATTTGAAAGAATGCCTATAGAATTGGCAACAATTCCTTAGTCACTTGGAATATTATTAAATTCCTTGATATAGTACCCAGGCTGATTGAGAGATTTTTGCTAGAAATAACTTCTGCAATCTAAGCTGTTAGAATTCATTTAGATTACTTGTTGAAGAGTTTCATTTTTGAATAAGTACACTCTAATACGTTTATTCGTAGATATTTAAATATAATTCTGTTCAATAAAAACCGTAGGGTATTGCTCATACTTATTTAGCTATATTTCTTAAATTTGCTGTCTAGTTTTAAGGTTAATTGCAGTAAGAAAATCTTCTACCCCGTAATAACTTCCATATATTATCAAAATATTGAGATTAAAGTCAATCCAGCAAGATCTAAGCTCAGTAAAACTTGGTAAGTCTTCTAAAAGTTCAATCTTAATGAATTCAGCTGTTCGAATATTGTAATACATTACTTATCTCTAGTCTTAAAATGCAAATATGTAGATTTGATCATTGATTTTATCAGACATCAAGCAAACATACTAAAATTCTTAGTCCTTCATGACTTTATCAACAGATATTTTTCTATAGTTATTAAGGTATATCATATTCTCTTCGTCGATAAAAATAAGTTTATCTGTTTAGCTAATTTCATTTGTTTGCTAGATGTCAAAATTGCTTAGTTTTTCTTCAATCTCCTCTTAGCTTAGATTATTGAGATCTATTAGTCTCAAGAGCTGTATTTTTGAACTGTATTCTCTGTTTATTTCCTTGCAAGGATACTTTCCTTCAATATCTGAAATAATTATGACACTATCATTCAAACTCCAGTAGACTACATAGTTATTGACAACATTTATAATATTTTAACTAGCTAAGATTTCTTGCTTGTGTATAACAGGTACCACAGAATTTGATACCATATCATCATATCTAGATATCAGTTCTAATCAATTGATCTTTTATTTATCTAGATCATGAATAAAGTAAATATAATTTCCATTAAATTATAGGGTTATATAGGAAAGTGGAAAATTTTCTAAGACTATTTCATTAAGATAGTCTAATGTAAAAATGTCGAAAATTGCAATGGAATCTGCGTTCACTTTGAGAACTAATTTGTTGTTTGTTATTCCAACATCTCTAGAATCGATTGGATATGTATTGTTTTTGAATTCAAGTTATTTCATAAATTAGAGTTAAAAATAGTCATCAAGTCTGTATAATTTTCTATCCCAGCTTATGAAGAAATACTAAAGTTCACAGTAGCCAACAAGAATATAAGATTTATCAAATTTTTAAGTAATTTCGAAAGTTTATTTATTGATCATTAGCAATTTATCGCTGAAAATGAAGAAGTATTCTCTTATTCTGGGAGAGTTTATATAGCTTATACTTCTTGTTGTGTATAGAAAGTTTTGAGTTGGTGATTTAATGAATACAGGTTCATCTTTATATTAATTTTGATAATCTTATACATCTTTTTCAGATAATTAGATTTTTAAGTTATGAAATTATTTAACTGAATGTGTAAATGGATCGTCTAAGCTAAGTACAAATAATATTTTTTTTTCAGATAACAATTCTGAAGTGAACTGAAGCAATATCCTGAATTCATCTAGGATATAAGATTATTAGATGCTTATATCTGATTCAATGTCAATTTTAAGAATGCAATCCTAAAGATTGTCAATCTTATCCAAGTCAAACAAGTATATTTAAGATGCAATAGATATGACAATGTAGTCTTTAAAATTCATACTATGATGTGCTAAAAGTTTTTACTATGAGCTATCATTGAATTGAATAGTTTTAATAAGAGCTTTGGTGGTAAGATTTCTGATTTCCAGTCTGTGGGATTTTTCATCTTATTAATAACTGCAAACATTTAAGAGTAATAAATTTTTCTCAAATAGCAAGAATTGCTATTAGATATTCATTTTTTGATGTTCTTAACTTATAGGGTTGAAGCTTTCGATTTGTTAATATTCTTTCCTATAATCTATTTCTTTGAATTATTCAAGTGGCCAATCATTATTTTATTAGTTTGAATTTCTGGAATCATATGTTTCATATCTTCCAATAAGGTTTTCTTTCGGGTCGTAGTCTCTTCTCATATCTTTAATTTAATAATATCAATTAGTTTAAACTCAAATCTATTATAATCGTAAAAAGAAGTACAAAAAAGAAAATTACTAGTGAATGACAAAATCCTAATGGCTATTAGGGAGAAAAAAAGGTTATGATATTGAAAATCAAAACTAATACATAAATTGTTTTAACTAGTTGATTGATCAATTAACTAAGCGAAATGATTCTAATGAGAATTTCTGAATTTCTTTGACTTCTACACATTTATTGAAGGAATTATAATAATTCTAATATTCTTGATTTAATTTTGAGACAGTTAAATGATCAATAAAATTCTCATAAAGATAAGGCACTAAATGTGAAGACTATTATTCAAGAGTTGATAAAGTTAAATTATGAGTTTGGCTAAGCTTTACTCAAAGTTAAATATCATATAAAAGTAAAACATAAATTCATCCATCTATCAATCATTAAAATATAATGTCTAATATAATAGCTTATTTTGCTTAAAAATTTATTAATATTAAATTGCTTAGTAAAATTAAATTGCTTAATAAAATAAAATTTCTTCCTGATGGGGTTTTGGGGTTTTGGGGTTTTGGGG